TCTGGGACCGCGGGCCGGGGCTTTCGGGGTCCACTCGGAACGACGTGGCGCTCCCTGGGCGCGCCGGAATCTGGACGCGCGGGACGCGGGCCTGCTGCGCGCGGCCCGGGAGGGGTTGGGGGACCGGCGCGGGGCGGGGGGACGCGGAGGGACCCGGGGAGTGCGGGGGACGCCCTGGGGAGCGGATCCTCGAGGGAGACCCCCTGCTCTGGGAGTGGGCCCGCTGGAGGAGACTCGGCCCCCGCCTGCGTGGAGCCCTGGGCCGGGGCACTTGCGGTCTTTGTCTGGCTGGCTGGGTGAGCACGCGAAGGTTCCGGCACTGGCTGTCGGAGCCCCCGAAGTGTGCCGTGCCCTTCTGGGGCGTGCGCGGTCTTAGCGTTGGGGCTGTAGGGGGAATGGTCTGGGCTTGTTTAATAGCCCCACGTCAGGGTCCTGGCTTCTTTTTATAGCGTGGGTTCTCTCTCTCTCTCAATCTCTCTCTTACACACTCTTTCTCGCTGTTCCTTCCTTCAAAAGAAAGAAAAAAGTGGTATAGTAGGAAAAGAAAAAAAAAGGGCAATTTAAGATTGCTAAAAATAGCCCACGGAGCCCTGCCAGAACGTACGATGAGAAGCGAAAGCCTGTCCTCGGAAGTCGGGGTCGTATGCTGGCCACAGTCTAGCCCACATACCGTTAAATAGAAGAGAGGAGCGTTGCTTTCCTCCCTTAGAGTTTGTCCCGTGGCCTCTGTGAAGTTCCTTTACCAGGAAAGAGAGGGAAAATGGCTCCATCGCCAGAGTGTGTGTGCAGAGACCTGGGGACTAGGGACTCCACTCTAAACCTCACCAACTGATTAAAGAATCTTAAAGAAACCGTGTGCAAGTCTTAGCCCTCGTTAGAAAGGATGGCGTTATCGCGGAAGGCGAGTATTGGACTTAGTGGTGAGAGAACTCAGGGCTCTCGGGACTGCTGAGGTGCCGCCATTCGGAATTTCCCTGAGTTGCTTCCCGGCTGGCTGCCGGGGCATGGCTCCCTTGGGCTGAGAAGCACCTGCTGTTTTATTTTCTCAGCTCACTGATAAGTAGGGGCTCAGAGGAAGTTCTTCCCTGGGACCTGCTTACTCTTCTGGCAGTTACGGGGTGGGTTAGCAGCTCCTGATCACCACTGTGGGTCTTCACATAAAATCACATTTTTGTTATACCTGATATGTGAGTGTGTGTGTGCCCACGTGTGCCACGGTGGTGCCTGTCTGGAGCTCGGAGGACAGCCGTGGGAGTCTGTCCTTCTGCCAAGTGAGTCTCGAGAGAGATCAAACTCAGGGCCTCAGTCTTGGTGGCAGTCACCATTATCCACAGACTGTCCCACGGACATTTGTCCCCATCACTCTGAGACATGATGACCTTTATGCAGGGCATCCCACCCCTAACACACCTCTCCCTCGGTGTCTGCACCTTCCCTCTCTTTCTGCACCCTCCCCCGTGGGCTGCACCCCTCCCTCGGGGCTGGCCTGCTCTTCACAGGGATATGCCCTGCCAGGTATTCCTCGAGGAGGAAGCCGGGTGCACGCAGCAGCCTCAGCAGCTAGGACCAGTTACTGTGCTCTGGGAAGAAGGCTCTTTGGTGCCTTCCCGTTTGAGAGGGTGGCCTTGGGTTGACAGAACGGCCACAGCCCCGGGCCTCTCTATGCCTCTGCTTCGAGTGACAAGTTGCAGTGATAGAATCGTGGTCTCTGCCCTGGCATGGTGGCTCAGAACTGCAATCCTAGTGCTTGAGGAAGTGAGGCAGGAGGATTTCTGTGAGTTAAGGGCCAGCCTGGGCTATATAGTGAGTTCCAGGCCATCCTGGGGTACATAGTCAGATGCTGTCTCAAAGAACCAAATCAGACCAAACCAAAAAACCCACATGGCCTCTAAAAATAGGCCTGGGCTCAGCTCTATTCCAGTTAGTGGCTCTTGTGTGATTCCTGTCTCATAGCTTCTCTTTAGTACCCCCCCTACCCCCCCAGTGCCTGGAAGACAGTAGGCAGCCTTTTGTTGAGACTCATTCTACAGCTTAGGCTGGTCTGGAGCTTGTGGTAATCCTCCTGCCTCTGCATTGAAAGTGCCTCCATTATTGTTTGTTGACATTTTAAATGATCATCCTTATCATTATTATGTCTGTCATTCAGTTTTCACATTTAACCACGAGTTAAAAACATTGATTTTACTTTTTAAATGTTTTTATTATTTGGGAACTCCATTCACGTGTACCCCTCATTTCCCTTCTCTGACTTACCCTGAATCCCTCTCTCCAACATCCCCCTTCCAATTTATCTTTTCTTTTTCAAGATTTATTTATTGTATATACAATGCTGTATGCATATACACATGCACACCAGAAGAGGGCACCAGATCTCACTATAGATGGTTGTGAGCCACCATGTGGTTGTTGGGAATTGAACTCGGGACCTCTGGAAGAGCAGCCCGTGCTCTTAACCTCTCAGCCATCTCTCTAGCGCACCCAGCATTATTAAGGAAGGATGCTGTGGAGTTTTCTCCTCTCACTTCAGGGACAGTAGCTCCCGATCACCACCGGATGGCCTAACGGTTATAACTTCCGAAGTCATTTTCTGGATGCACAAGAACAGGTTTATCAGCGTTTTAGAGAAGAGCCCCTGGTCGGGTGAGCTGTAAGCGCTCAGCTGCTGACGGGAGGAGAATGGCGGGGAGAAGGGAGAAGGCCACTGAAGCCAGCGCGGCAGCAAGAGCCACGTGGCCGGCAGGGAGGAAGGCTTGAGACAGAAAAGAAAGGAAGCCCAGAGTGTTGGTGAGAGCGGCCGCTTGCTAAGGAAAGCATGCTCAGAAGAGGGACAGTGTCAAGGCTTCTGTGACAGTCCAGAAAGTGGGCACTCACATGACGCTCGTGTGGCTGAAGGGCATAAGCTAGCACTGCCTAAAAACACATGTGTTCACATGTGTGCCGTGTGTGTAGATGTATGTTCACGTGTGGGTAGGTGTGTGCTCACATGTGTGCATGGATGTGGGGCTGGGCGTCGCTGTGAAGGAGCCACTCATCTTGTGTTTTCCTTTCCTCTTCCCTAGCACTAGGATTACAGGTGTGCCCCAGCTTTTCACGGACCTGGGGATCGTACTCATGTCCTCAGGTCCTTGGGGCACACGCTTTACCGACTGCGCCGTCTTTCCAGCTCTTCTCTTCCCAAACTCACTTTGTGCACCTAAGCGGCTTTCTCTCGGTGGGATCAATCAGGCTACTCTGTGGGTGTGGTCAGTGTGGTCTCCTCCTGAGTCTCGTTTTGTGCCTCCTTAGATTCTACTTTGCACACACAGTGAGAGCACCATTTAGAAGTCAGAAGGGGCTAGCCTGCTCTGTGCTGCTCCTGGACTCCCTGGTCTAGCCTAGTCTGTGCTGCTCAAGGACTCCCTGGCTAGCTATATAAACCCTAGAGGTCAAGTCGTGCCAGCATCCCTTCCGGGGGTTTACTGGGGGAGGAGACCACAGGACTTCCCAGAAGGACCTGGTTTGGTTGTCCCCCGTGTTGACCTCACTCTCTTACCTGTAGAGCTGTCATGGAGGGCCAGCAGGAGGGTGGGGAGCCGATGAGGCCTCACCTGTGAGCTGTGGCACACGCAGAGGGAGGACTGAGTGTGCCCAGCTGGCATTGGACAGGGTACCTTTCATCCCAGCCTTTATTGTTGGGGCCTTGACAGAGAAGCCAATGAACCACAGCCGATGCCCTAAGCCTGAGGCCTCCTGCTTGTGAGCAGGCCCATGGGGACGGGAGCCCTGCGCCTTCTCCTAAGTGTCCTTCCCTCAGGTGGTGAGGTCACGCATGGGCCATGGTGCAGTGCCTGTCTGGGGGTGCAAGCCAGCGCACACCCAGGGTGGCGTGAGCTGTGTGCAGTGTGGGAGGCCCCGGCCCTCCCCTGCCAGTGGGCACAACCATCCTCATTTTGCCCCTTTGCTCTTGCTGGTGTCCCCGGGCACCTGATGAGCTGGTTCACCCAGACAGGAAACGGAAGGCGGGTGGAGGAGGTTGTGAGTTGTTCAGTCCCCGGCTCGGGAGCTCACAGCTCTCGGGAGGGCGTCCTCACTGCTCTCGGCACGCCGGGTCCTGGTTCTAGGCCTCGTCCTCTGTGCTGTGTCCGGGCAGCTGCTCGGTGTGGGCACTAGTGACTGTTGATCCCAGCTTCCCCAGGGCGCAAGCATGAGGCTTGGCACACGACTGCGAACAGACCCCGCCCTGCCCCGCCCCGGCCCGTGTGATTAGGCTGTTTCCTAGAGGATTAAGGTTGAGTGTGGAGCCGAGTTTACACAGCAGCCGACCTGAGAGAGACTGGTGTGATTGAGCTGTGATCACTGGGTCCTTACAGGTGTGAAGGTCAGGGTCGCATCTGTGCAAAGGCCCCACTGGTCATCGTTGGCCGAGAATGCACCAGGGATCACAGATGGACGCCATACCCACCTGGCATTTGTGGAGTGTGTGGGGG